TATCTTCGATTACGGGGAAGGAAGGGATGATCTTGCACCTTTTATTTCCCGATTCCTTCTATTTATTTTGACTTGTAAGATTCGTCATTGGTTGGAAAGCGTATTTGGATAATAGACAGAATATCGAAAGAGAATGAGAAATAAAACTAACGAACCAAAAGGCAAAGATATAGTGTTGAATCATTCAATAAACAGTATTCAATCCGGGAATATATGTAGATAATTTCCAGCTTTTTTCTTATATCGCTCTTGAATAATTGAATACATAATCTTTCAATAAACATATAGTACCCTTTCCTACAATCATGTGATAAGTACACCAACCGCAACTAGTAATAAATCCAATGGCAAATTGTAAAAGAAAAAAGGTAAGAATAAGCTTCAGTGACAATCAACATTTAATGTAAACAATTACATGCATAGAAAGTTGTTTTTGTGTTTAGAGAAGGAACTTTTATCAGCAAGTTTTCTGACGTGATTTTAAAGCTCAGACTGAAACAATTCAATGTTATTTATTCGATACGAAATATTATTGGGAAATTCTTTTGCAATGACACCACTTAACATGATATTATCAATGGAATTATATGAAAGATTTATGAAAATCTCGAAGTGACAGTCTAACATATCAACCAAAACGCCTGAAAATCTAATCTATCAACATAATCCATTTTCAGAATTCCAGTAACCTCAGCCCAACTACTATAAAATAAAAATCGAAAAAAGGGAAAATTGAGCTCCCTCATGGACATAGCCCGGGCGAGGCAAAAAAAAAAAATAAATAAATAAATAAATATATATATATATATACTAAGGGAAAATTGAGAGGAAACCTTACCGAAAGTGTCGTTAATTGAGTGAAAAGCCGAGAACGTGAAGGTTGTGAAAGTGAGTTAAATGAACACGAACATGAAGAACATAACGAATTAAGGAAAAGTAATTTACGAAGTGCAAGTAATGGTTTGGAGGACTCAAAGGGAAAATGGTGAAAGGAAGGTAAACGAACGTAATGATGAAGTGATAATGAGTTGATAATGATCTTAATGATGAAGAGTGATAATATCTTAATGAACGCGATGGCTTCATAATGACATGATAATGAACGCGATGGCTTCATAATGACATGATAATGAACGTGATGGCTTCATAATGACATGATAATGAACGTGATGGCTTCATAATGACATGATAATGAACGTGATGGCTTCATAATGATATGATGATGGACGTGATGACATGATAACGTGAAAATCGCATGATAATAGCGTGAGTATGACTCGCTGATAAAAAAAAAAACGTGACAATGAACGTGATATTGAAACAGAAATCAGACAAAAAAAACATAAAACACGATTCATAAAAAAATAATAACAAATAAAATAATATAACAATAATAATAATAAAAAAAACGCGAAAAAAATTATATGCATTCGAATTTAAAATTTCCGACGCGAAAAAAATATATGAGCATTCGAAGCGCCAGGTACTGACCCGCAAAGAAATTTATATGTGATTACGTGAGGCCAGGTGAGAAGAGGTACAACGTGGCACAAGTGAAAGTATTACATAAAGGTGGGATTGTGGCTCAAAGGCACAGGTGGAGGAGCTAGGAATTATTTTTTTGTGTTTCGCCATCTTTCTCTCTCTATCTTTCTCCCCTTCTCTCTCTATCTTTCTCTCCTTCTCTCTCTCTCTCTCTCTTTCTCTTTCTCTCTCTCTCTCTCTCTCGCTCTCTCTCTCTCTCTCGCTCTCTCTCCACCCTCTCTCTCTCTCTCTATATATATATATGTGTGTGTGTGTGTGTGTGTGCCTCTGTCTCTGTTTGTCTGTGTGTCTGTCTGTCTCTTCTCTCTCTCTCTCTCTCTCTCTCTCTCTCTCTCTCTCTCTCTCTCTCTCTCGCTCTCTCTCCACCCTCTCTCTCTCTCTCTATATATATATATATGTATATGTGTGTGTGTGTGCCTCTGTCTCTGTTTGTCTGTCTGTCTGTCTGTCTGTCTGTCTGTCTCTCTCTCTCTCTCTCTCTCTCTCTCTCTCTCTCTCTCTCTCGCTCTCTCTCCACCCTCTCTCTCTCTATATATATATATATATATGTATATGTGTGTGTGTGTGTGCCTCTGTCTCTGTTTGTCTGTCTGTCTGTCTGTCTGTCTGTCTGTCTGTCTGTCTGTCTCTCTCTCTGGTATTTCTAGTGATTAATGAGTAGGGAACAGTGATATTTTCATACAGTGATGACTGTGTTTTCTAGGGTTTAATTACCGGAAAATAGTGGAAGAACTTATTTTCAAACAATGGCGATAATTACTATTTGTAATGGAAGACTATATATAATGTTTCTAATGATTAATGAATAGGAAACGGTGGAAAAAATAATTGATTATCTGATCATGCATGAATTCAAGGAAGGTTATGAGATTTTTTTTATAGATAATAGATATTGAAAATTGATAATGAAGAGAAAAAGCAATTGCCTGATAATTCCGAAGCGTTTTGTATTAGT